ATGTGCATTTAGAAAACAGGTGACCAACTCAAAGGTGCCTTTTCCCCCCGAGGGTCGGGACCCGCCTCTCCAGCCATAGAACATCTCTAGATATATATTTATATATATATTTAATTTTTGGGAACGGGGCTGGGGGGGCCAGGCTGCTCCCCCCTTCCCAAAGGCCTCCTGCTCCTTTAGGGAGACCCCACTGAACCTTTTTTATTCCAAAGGAATTCGGAGGCGTTTTTGGGGCCACGCTGGGACGGGGAGGGGAGAGAAAAAAATTCCCCTGGTGGGGGGGAAAAAAAAAAAGATTCCCTGGGGGAGAGATTTGGGACCCCCCAGCCCCAAATTCTGCCGGCAGCGGGGGCTGGGCTGACTCAGGCACTTCCCGGGCACTGCGGGGTGGGGACGGATGGGGGGACTGGGAGGGACTGGGAGGGACAGAGGGATGGACACAGGGATGGACACGGGGATGGACAGAGGGATGGACATGAGGATGGAGAGGGATGGACACAGGGATGGACACAGGGATGGACACAGGGATGGACACAGGGATGGACAGGGATGGACAGAGGGATGGACACAGGGATGGAGAGGAATGGACAAGGATGGACAGAGGGATGGACAGGGATGGACACAGGGATGGACAGGGATGGACAGGGATGGACAGAGGGATGGACACAGGGATGGAGAGGGATGGAGAGGAATGGACAAGGATGGACAGAGGGATGGACAAGGATGGACAGAGGGATGGACAGGGATGGACAGAGGGATGGACAAGGATGGACAGAGGGATGGACAGGGATGGAGAGGGATGGACACAGGGATGGACAGGGATGGACACAGGGATGGACAAGGATGGACACAGCAGCCCTGAATCCAGGGCATGGCTGAGCCATCCCTGCTGTCCCATCCCTGGCTGCTGTCCCTGTCCCATCCCTGCTGTCCCATCCCTCCTGTCCCCATCTCCGCTGTCCCCAGCCCCGGGTGCCCGACACAAACCCTGCCGAACCTGCTGCCCTCTCTCTCTCTCTCTCTCTCTCAGTCTCTCTCTCTCTCTCTCTCACACATGATTTTTTTTTAGGCAATTTTCCAGCAATTTCCAGCAATTTTTTCTGGCCGCTCCCCACCCGGAGCCCTCGCTGCCCGACTGAGCCTCGCACGGGGCTGGGGGGGACGGACCCCAAATCCTGACCCCGATCTCCTGGGAAGGAGCCCCCGGCCCCCAAATCCCAAACCCCGCCCTGCCACAGCCCTTCCAACTCCTACCACTCCTTTTTTTTTTCTATTTTTTCCTTTTTTTTTTCTTAAATAGATCTCTCTCTGAAATAAGTTTTTTTTCTTCTCTTTTTTTTTTTTTTTTTAAACACGTGTTTGGACACAAAATAAAGCTTTGGATTTACATGGAAGCTCTTTTCCATGCGACAGAGCCACTTTCCATCCCCACCTCGTGCTTCCCTAACGTCCTTGCCTTTCCAAGAAAAGGTCCTTGGCTATGAGGGATCCTCGGGGGAGAGCCCCGCTTACGATGGGAAGATTGGAAAACGTTAATATAATATCTCTCTTTTTTTTTTTTT